CTGATTGTGCACCAGTGGGGCCCTTTGGCCTGGCCTGCACCCTCTCACAATCCGGGACCCCTTGGGGGATGTTGGAGAGCCGGTTTTGGCCCCATCCCACAGGCCTGACCGAGGGACCCTACTGGTGCATGAAGTTGTGCACTGGGCCCCTAGTTATATCAGAAAACTGCGAAGTCCAGCATCTCTAATATCTAGGTGGCTTCTGCAAACTGTGTCTCTGGACTTCTGTGGTGTCGGTCACCAAGTTGACTTTGGCCTCTTTGCTCATTGACAGCTAAGGGTTTAGTGATTTTATCTAAAGTGTGCAGATTGGGATTCCTCCATTAGCTCCCTGATTCTGTTAGGCAAGAGGTAATCTTGGTGACTCGGCCGATTTCTCGTGACAAAGAACGAAGTACAATGCAAGAAGCTGCGGCTGACAGGAAGATCACTGTTGGAGCATAGAAGACAGCGTGGCACAGTGGGTTCAATTCTCAGTTCTTGGAAAATTACTTAAGCTGTCTGATTTTCAGTTTCTTTACATAGGGATTGGAGATAGACTATGTCATGTTCCTAACCCATAGTAGGTGTTCTCATAACTACCACACAACACTTTGTGCTTGGTTACCCGGGGCCTGGCCTAGCTCCTCTGCTCCAGGGCACAGTCATTGATTTTAAGAATCTTACAATTCCCTTCAGCTTTCAGGCATGATTTTACAGGTCATGGCAATGAGCAATGATTAAAGAACACCGCAAACCCTGGCACCAAGGTTTGGAAGGCCGCCCAAAGGACAATTCTCCAATCCTGGCCAAGAGGATTCAGTGGAGACCCTTTGGCTAAGCCCACTTAGTGACCTCTTTGGATGAGCTGTTAGTAGGAGTCTCCTCACTGGCATCGGACTCCTGCCTAAGTTGCATGAGTTATCCCTACTTTGCAGATTTAGGGCTAATAAGTCCTTGGAGGAAGGCTGGAGCCTGGGACACAATCCTGGCCATGGCAGGCAGGGCTGGGCTGAGATAGTTCATTCATAAGCTCATTCATTGAAAATTTGAAAACCAAGGTTCTCTGCCTCTGCCAAAGTAACGTAGGTTTTCCGAAAACCTGTTTTTCTCTGGACTTTTGACTATGGGGTGATATGGGCTTATTTGAACAAGGATATCTAAGAAAGGAAAAAAGGATGAATAGGTGGAGCAAAAACTTTTTAACTTCTGCTTTATGATTTATAAAAGGGATAGAACGCCATGCCATTAAGGGATTCTTCCCAGGAAAACGTTGCTATTGTACAAAGAAACATCTTGTTAAAAAGCTTGAAAAGTTTGCCTGTACTTCTAATTCTGTTGGGTAGAACAGAAAGAAAAGAGGTATTCTGTTCCACTGCCATTTAAACACTGTTTCTGGAGCTTTTCCCTGACTTGGCTATATGCTGGCCAATAGAATGAAATCTGTTTTACCACCTGAATCTTTTCACTCAACCTTTCATTCATTTTGATGGAGTAATATGGATATTATACACACATTCAATATGTTGGCTATGAAATAATCAACTAGTATCAACATAAATTCCTTCATTTCTCCTGTCTGACTTCTCTCATTCTTCAGTTATTTTAATGTTTCATAATTGGTTATATTCACCTTTCTTCTTAATTCAGTAATTTTTAGGCTTCTCAGTTAACCTGTAGATTGTCTAATGTAGTACAGAGTTCTCTTTCATATTGCCTAGAGCACTTGTACATAGCATTTGGCCTGGAAGAAGGAACCAGCTCTACCTTTAGGGTGTTTTTCTTGAGAAAGGACTCAGGCAAGAAATGACGCTTGAACTCACTCTTAAAGAGGGTATTTTCCAGGTAAAAATTGTAGGAAAGGAAATCCAGGTAAAGTATGGGGTAAGAAAGAGCCTGGACACAATCCTCAATGAGAACATATTCAAAAGAAAGCTGCAGAATGGAAAATCAAGATAGACATCATTGTAGGTAGACACTGAAGTGGACTTAATTCGGTTTTCATTTTAAAAGCCTCCAAAGACAAATGCAGCTGAAAACCTAACTAAAACGAATACAAAATTTGTTTACCAAAAAAAAAGAAAGAAAAAAAAAGGAAAAGAGCTTGGGCGAAAAGTGCAGGTGGATTGTAAGGCTGTTTTGGTGCTTGGTGAGGGCAAGTGGAGTTGCAGCTGGGAGAAAGGTGAGAGGTGTGGCTGACAACCTGGTCACCAAGGGCATTATGGCCCCTGTGTGAATGTCCAGCAAATAACTCAGATCCTTTGGAAGATTGTAAGCTGGGGGTAAAGTGTAGATGGACTTGGATTTAGGGATATAAGCATGGGGAACCTGATCGGATTTGAATTTTTGGAAATGGCGTGACAGCAATGTGAGCAACAGGCAAATCTTAACCTCTGTTCCCTCATTTTGTAGAGTAAGGACTATAGGTTTTGCACCAAGGTTAGAAAAGATAACGAATGTGAAAATAATACTAAGTATATTTAAATTAATACTATTTTTGTGTGAGTCATAAATGAGTTAAACATGCTTACTTTTTAAGAAGAGATCAGCTTTGTGATCGGAGGCAAAATACACATCCTTGGTATTGGTACCACCTGATTTATAGAGTTTTTAAATATCTGTGGGTTTTTTTGTTTGTTGTTTTTTTTAATGGGAGCAGTAACATAGATTTTCTGAAAACCTACTATTTGGTTGTCTGCTTTAGCTTAAACTCCTACTACAAACTGGAAGGATAGGGGAAGAGCTGATGTACATTGATTATTGAGAAAAAAAAGGCCTATGCGCCCACCCCCCCCCCGCAAGTTATGTATTCAAAAAAAAGAGGAGACATATGCACTACTATTTGTAATACCCTAAACAATAAAATAAAAAAAAGAAAAATGCTTTCCATCTGCTCATAACATGTAGCAATCCAAGTGCTTGAAAACCTCATCATATTTACCAAAACTTTCTTCCCCAAAGAGTATGAGTTGTGAGTAGGTGAATAGAGACCTGGTGTGTAAACAGCCGAATATCCAAAGGAGTAACATACACAAGGCTCCTTATGTGTGCGATATTCATCTGATTTTATTCAGTGTGCGAATTAAGAAGGACCCTGGTACTTAAAGAAAATCAGGCGCTTTTCAAAGCTCAAGTCTGACCCCTACATCACTCCTTGGTGATGGTGACCCAGCAAATCACAACCTTCCTGAGCCCCTCCTTTGTCTGTCAAATGGGGAATGTAGGAAGTCCTACTTCACAGGGCTGCTGGGAGGATGACTTGAGATCATCTGATTGAAGCCCTTCATACAGAGGCAGACACATGATAAACCCTTAATAAGTCATTAGGGCTGGGATAGTGCTGGACCTCGCATTCTTCTTTTCAAAAGTTGCTTCTGATGAAAAAAGAGAAAGTTGGTCTATAAAAGGTCTTGAGCCTGAAGAAATACCCGAGTCCAGTACCTGCTCTGTGATGCAGGGCCCAGACGAGGGTTGGTCCTGCCAGCCTGACCAGGCCACATGCACAGGACAGCAGGGCATAAAGGTGCTGAGGAGAGCCGTCCCTGTGCTCAGAGACAGCATGAATGGTGACCAGGAGCAAGGCAACATAGTCCAGGAGCAGCAGATGTGAAAGTCAAATTGTCTTTATTCTTTTACCAAAGTATTTGGTATGGGTAGCAGCACTGCCTGGGGGGCTTGGGGAGGGGTGGAGAATCTGTTGGATGGGAATCTCACCTTTGAGCATCGGTTATATCTGGTGCTTATTTTAAGCACAGTTCATGTTAGACTTTTCAATGGCAAATCGAGGAGTAGACGAAAAATAGGCTCAAAGGAAAGGGTTCTTTGCAAAAGTTCAAAGTGGCCAAACGTTTATTCTTGCATTCATCATGCATGTGCCTTGGAAGTATGTAATCTTTATTTTTATTTTTTGAATTATGTAATTAAACTTTTCAGGTAGCACATAGCTGTCCCTATCTTTCCAGCATCTCTGCCTTTGGCTGATGTGATGCCATGCATTCTTGACAGTCAATATCGGCCCTGGTATGGGTCTAAAACCAAGTAAATTCATACCTTGGCCATAAATCAGGATCTTCTAAATAGTCAGATTCAGGTGCTCTGCTCTTCCCAACAGACTCCTCTCCGCCACCCCAACCCCACCAACATGAGGAGAGGCACATCCTGCGCTGAGCTCTGGGCTTGGCCAGGCACACAGCAAAGATGTTGGTTGGTGATGGGCTCAATGAACAGCCCACTTGACTGAGCCATGTGTGTGCTCAGGCTTAACTACACTGGCAAAATGTGTAAGGATATTTGTAAATATTTTGCATGATTGACTCCTCTGAGGAAATGATGATATTTAAAAATATATATGTACACACACGTATTTTTTTTTAAATCACAACTAAAAAAATCTTTGCCATTGGGTAAAATTAAATCTGACAAGAAACCCTATGAGTTTTTATTAGTACCATATTGTTTTCTTTGGCTCCATGTATTATATTGGTAAAATGGCAACAATGACAAAAAAAAAGGGGGGGGGTTGTAAAAAGGCACATATTTTGTACAAAAATACAGTTTTAAAAGCTCCTGAAGTACATTTCATATCATTAAGAGTTGGCCTATATATCTCCATGTCTGCATATCTTTCCTACATTTGGGATTTTAGAAATGTCAGGTACTGTTTACACAGTATATGTGTAAGTTCTTCCTAAAGCTCAACAACCAACGATAATCTTCTTATAATCGGAGGATTCCATGTTTTGGAAGATAACGATTTGCATACACTGTACAGTTACTGGCTGATAAATCTATGTGATTCAGTCCACTTGCGTACTGAAAATCAATATTTCATACCGAGGGAACATTTTAGTTCCAAAGTCCTTGAGTAATGGCAAATGGCAAAGAACATTAGCTGTCAATTTCTTCAGGAATTGGTTTTCAGTGCTTTTTCCAATCTGGTGAGCAGGTGATGCAATCGGAAGGAAGTATCCTGGGCCTTTGAGAACTGTCCGAAAAGTTGCTCAAGTTATCATCACAGTCCATTATAATGAAGATGATAGCACTAAAAGAGAGGGGAAAGGATAGGTGTTAAAAGAATAACATAATGTACAATTAAAAAAAAAAGCACGTGTTTTTTATAGGAAAGATTCCAAAGTACATCATTTAATAATGTTTATTTTTTCAAAGAAATGCCTAGCAGTTCCTATTAGGCATTCAGGTGAAGTGAAAGGTAAGACTCATTTTGAAGGAGCCTATTCTGGGGAAGTCCAGAATTCAAATTGGGTAGTCCCAATTCAAATCCCAAATGACCAAACAAGGGAAACAAGCAAATATGGGTAGCTTGTCACTCTCTACTGTATTCTCTTTTGTGTATTAGTCCCCAACCAGATCTATGAGGCTTACATATAACAGCTTATATTTATAACACTATTTTAAGTTAAAAATAATTTAAGTACAAGCTTCTTTTTAGGAGACACTGATTACTGGAATGAGGCAGAGTGAGTGTGCAAAGAGGGAGTCCACTGGCCTCAGAAGTCCCAAACCGGAAGTCTTGCCCCCTTGCTGAAGCTCCAGGACGAGCAAACAGGCCTCTTTCACAGAAACATTGGGGTATAGTTCATTCTGCTGTGTGTGCTGTGCCCTGGGGGTGGCAGCTGGCCAAGACCTGTGTCTCTGTTACTGGCCCATGGGAACTGAGGAACGCAAGCTCTAGAAGTAGGTGATTAAGGGATGTCCATGGGCAGCAGCTGCAAAAAAACGGGTTCTCTTTAGAAATACACTGATGCTCTGCAGCATGTCAGAGGGAGAGTGCAAAGATAGCGCCTGCCCTTCAAGGTCTTCCAACGTTTAAAAAAAAAAAAATTAAAGGCTTAAGATACAATTCACATATCATTTAAAGTGTACAATTAAAGTGGTTTTTATCATATTCACAAAGTTGTAGAATTTAGAACATTTTCATCACCTCCAAAAGAAAGCCCATAACTATTAGATTCACTCCTTCTCCCCAAAATTTTTAAATCTAGTTGTGATGAAGAAAATTAAGAGAACATATTCTAAAGAAGGTCATGTATTAAATGGAGCTTTAGATAAGTGCCTTTGAAATGGGAAAAAAAATCTCTAAAAGCCTCTTTGGCTTATTAACTTATAAGGGGCACTGACTATATTTCTCCATTATCTACTTCAGCATCTTGCCTGTAGTAAATGCTAAATAAATACAAGTGGAATTAAATGCTTGGCTACCTGGAATGTGTATGGAATGCTATGAAAAAAAACAAAAACAAAAAACACTCTGTTGCCATATGTTAAAGAACAAATGTCTGAAAATATAAGCTAGGCTAGTTATTCTTACATTTATTGAGTGCTTTCTCTACATTAGGCACCTTTATAATCGCCTCCTCACAACAACCTCATTAAGAGGATGTTATTGTTATTCCTCAGTGGCAGAATCAGGACTGGATTCAAAGCCCTCTTGCCCTTTAATAGGTTATAACCTCTGCAGCTCCCTCTTCAGTTCCCTCTACTGCTTACCTGTGTCCCTGTCTTTTTCACATATGAAGTTATTGACGTCTTCACACTGGAAATCGTTCCACTGCCCGGCGTAAATTAGCCCAGCACAATCTTCTCCTGGCCCTTGGTCATGGCCCCAGTTATCTGGCTGTCCGGCTTTCCAATTTCTTTTAGCAAAACAGAAATTGAATGTTATTTTAAAGTCATGTAGATGTTTTCTTTCTCCCAAAGCAGCAGGAAATGTCATATATATGACATTTGTCTTAGAATGAAAATGCATTGTTTAAAAATCTATGCATACTCTTTCTCTCTTTTTTTTTTTATCCTCACCCAAGGATATGTTTATGCAGAGCACAGCTATACCTTATTTTATTGTGCTTTATGATGCTGCAGATTTTTTTTTTAAACAAATTGACGGCAAGACCCTCCCCCAGCAAAAATATTATTACTTGCTTTATTGTAGTCTGTAACTGAGATGTGCGTATAGTGTGTATTGTATCATCTCCCTACAAGATAGTTTTCTTTGTCCCAATGAAATCAACTCATTGAGCTACTTCATCACAATGCTGAGAGAGTAAATTCTTCTTCCACACAGTTAGATGAATGAAAATGGTCTCATGTGTACTGTGATGCTAACTTTTGGACGCATGTGTAAATATCTGTATAAATTTATCTGCACTCCGAGTATATGATACACACACACTCTTGTGAGAACCTAGAGGGATCCTTGTACATTTTGATACCTTGCTTCTCTAACAAGTCAGAGTGAGGCAGAGAAAGTGAGAGGCCCTCCAATTCCAGATACGTGGTTATGGTTGTCTGGCTAAGTTGTAGGTCGTTGGTTGCTTTAGAAAGAAACAGTAATTTAACCTTACTGAAAATGACTCAGACCTCTCACTGCCTTTTTTGGAAGAGAGATTCTTAAAAACAAAGTTTCCTTTAGGATGAGTTCACTTGGGGCTTATTAACTTGGATGCCGCTGCTCAAATCATCACTTTGCCAAGCTTGCTCTTCCTTATTCTGTTTTCATGCAGGAAGTTAGATTGATGTGCTATCAAGACTAAAAACTTGAACGGTAAATTTTCTCTAAGGAGCAGGCCTTGTACAGAAGCCCATGGTCACGTGGAGGGTCGGGAGGAACATCTGCAGCAGGAGTGCTTCCCATAAACTGTGACTCACCATTCCATCCCACAGCGTCCCTCCCGGGGCCACCCGGGGAGAGAGCCCAACTGTCCCACGTCTTTTGACAATAAAACCAGCAAAATCAGAAGGCACTGGGAAAGGACAGTTGAAAATTACAGTTAAAGGATGAGGCAACAAAATAGAAGACTTTCCCACATCAAATGTATATTCTGGGATTTAAGAGAAAAAAAAATGATGAGTGGCCCTATTTAGATAAAACCATCAACCGATGAGATTAAAAACAGGGTGATAGGAGGGAGAGTGAAAAATACAAATTCATTCACATTTTCACACAATAGATACCCACACAGCACCTACTATGGGGTCAGGGATAATTCTAGGTGATGGCAACACAGCAAAATGGAGAATAGACAGAGCCCCAGCCCTCAGAGAATTCACATAGCAGGCGAGAAACCATGAATTAAAAACTTCAGACTGCCATTGTGATGCCAGAGAGATGAAGTTGGAAGGGAAAATAGTTTGACTTTCACGTGGATGCTTGGGGGGAAAAAAAACTCAAACACACCAAAGGACATGCTTACAGAAAGGGAAGGATTGCGGGGGGGGGGGGGGGGGGGGGGAGGGAGATGAAGAACGGGAAAAGAATGGCAGAGGCCTGAGCTGAAAAATTCCTGCATCCCATACTATATATGATACACATGCCACAGAAGTGGTTGGATGGCATATTGTAAGTACACCAGGGACCTGGGAAGCACGCGGACTCACTGTTCCAGTGAATTGGAAGCACACAAGCACATCCGCTTGTGTGTGTGACCTTCCCTCAGGATTCTGGGCTGACCCCATTGGAGACAGAACACGGAGTCCCAATCCCGGGAATTGCCCCTTCCAACTAAGCAACTTTCTCATCGACCGCAAGATCGGCTGAGGCTCCGCGGCCAAAAAGCTGCTGCTGGTAAGAGCCTGGCTTCAAAATGGGAAAATCCTGCTGGGGAGCAGTATTTCTTTGCTGTAGAGTTTCCTCCTGCTATAGCGGTCTGTTCAGTGGACAGACTTCTCTCTCTTGGCGCCCGAGCCAGTGCCACTCTGGTAGAAACATGGAGCGTGCGCCCGAGTGAGGTATTGCTGAGTTAGATGGCACCGGTGTTCCCTTCTGGTCCCCACCATCCAGTGGCCCTCTATTACACAAAGTTGTGTGGAGCAGTCTGTGCAGACAGAAAGGCAGGTATGTTTTATCTTTGTGATGTTGAGATGAAAGCTGTCACTCCTACCTTGACAGCATGCTTTCACCAAGTGATGTCCTGTGCAGCGGACCAAGAAGTGGGCAGGAATAGAGGAAGAAAATCAGTGTGTTGCAGGAAGAAAAATCACACCTCTGATGACTGATCTAAGGTGGGCAATGGCAAGCTGGGTGGGTAGGCCAGGCCTTAGGAAGGCCATCTCCCAGCACCGAGCTGAGCAAGTGGATAGTCTGCACATCCCACTGTGTCTGACTCCCCTGTGCTAACTAAGCTTCCATGCAGTGATGACTTCTGTCCAAGGATGTGCCTGCATTAGTTCCCTCAAGAGCAGAAAGATGAGTTTTGACATGCTCCTGGCTCACGGATCTTCTCTGGTTCGTACGTTTTCTGTTTCTTTCCAGTCTTTGTTGTTTCCTTCCTTCTACTGACTGTAGGATTAATTGCTCTGCTTCTTCTTAACCTCTGAAAGTAGCAGCTCAGATCATTGATTTTCAACTTAAAATATTTTTCCTAAGTGTTTTTAAGCTATAAATGCCCTTTTAAAATTGTTAGCTGCATCCCCCCAAAAAAACTTAATATGTTTACAAACTTTCACTGTGTTTGAAACATTTGCAAATTTCTTTTGTGATTTCTTCTTTGATCCGAGGATTATTTAGAAGTGTGTCCTTTAATTTTCAAATATTTTGGGACTTTACAGCTTTTGTTGTTGTTCTCAATTTCTAATTTAATTTTGCTTTGGTTAGAGAACATATTCTGCATAATTCCACTGCTTTTAAATTTATTGATACTTGTTTAAGGGCCCAGCATATAGCTTACCTTGGTGGATGTACCATATGTACTAGAAATAAATGTATACTTGGTAGTTACTGGGTGAAATGTTCCATAATGTGCATATGTGCATGAGGTCGAGTTAGTTGGTAGTGTCTGCTCTATCCCTCCTGGTTTTTTTTACTCGATCTGTCGGTTACTGAGGGGAGAACGTTGAAATATCCTTTGAAGCCCTCTCTGCTGTGCCCACATTTAGGGTTGGTACGTATGTCTTCTGCATCACGGTCCTAGAAGTCAGGTTTTCTTACGTAAGTATAATACCACCTCTCGCTCATCCTGCTGGCCACACTCTCTGGAAAAGACCCCCCAGGCCAGCATGGAGGCTGGCTCACAGGGGGCACTCTGGGATCATCACCGTTACCATGGGACCTTGGCCAATCGCCAGTCAGGGGCTGGTGCTGGCCAGGAATGGAGTTTTCACAGGCTTGTGGTGAAAGAACAAAAATAAGGACTGTGTGTGTGTGTGATGGTCAGCTGTTTTTTATTGAAAAGGACTGGGGATATTTATTTATTTATTTTTATTATTTTTAGTGCTGAGATTTGTGGATAGGTGATTTTTAAAACCCACATCCATAGTTGGCAAATAAAATCTCAGTAGTGTTTGTCAACCTCTTTTGGGATTTTACTGGTGTGTGGACCCGAAGCATCGGGGACCCGCCTCGGGCACTGCTCTGTGATGTCGCAGATACTGTAGTTCCTGCCGTCCTTCTCCTCAATAGCTGGTCCTTCAGTGAGGCAGGCCATGTGCTGTACAGGAAATAAACCTTAGCTCAGACTTGAGTGTCCCTCAGCCTGTGGCTCCCATTCCATGTGACTGTTACTTCTGCGTATTCCAGCACCGTCCTTCTCAATCAGCGATCGGCAAAAAACATGGAGAGGGTTCAAGAGGCAGAGGAGAGAGCCTTCCATTTCTTCTCTATTTCCTCTTTGACAGTAACCACAAAACCCTGAGACAATTTCAAAAGGGCGTGTGAATGTTTGTAAACCTGTGGCGGACGAGCCAGTGTCTAGAGGGTAAAGGTGAGCAGTGTCTGGGGAGACTTCTGAGAGCCTGACACCCAGCCCCTATGCCAAGGCGTGGTGGAGAACATTCTTTCTGTCTTCTTTCCAAACCCAGTCTGACATCTGGGCTACTGTGTGCGGCATCTCCATCCGGATACTGTATAATATATGGATGCTACGTAGTATTGTTCTGCATGAAAACACTTGGGATTATGACACTAATACCGGGCCGCTAGCAGGCAACATTTCTTGAGCTCTCCCCGTGGGCCAAATACTGTACTAAATGCGTTAGTATGTATATTATCTCATTTAATAGTCACAATACCGACGTAGGTCCTTTCTATCTGCGGTCACAGAGTTTCGCGTGATTGGGTAGCTCGCTCGATGTCGCACAGCTGAGCGAGCTCTGTCAGGGCCTGGAGCCCGACCACAGGTCCAGGGCATGTGTGCGCTCCCCTTGCGGCACTGGCTGTCTTTCTAGTTGGTGCAATGTTTATTATTCCATGTCAAGTTACATTGGCCTCCCGTTATTGAGGCCTCATGCTATGTCTGCCTAGTTTATTCTTGCTTTTAAAATTTGATCCTGGGTTTTTTTCTTTTTACACGTATGTGTGTTCCTTCGGGTGGAAAACGAGAAGCGCAGTCGTGGCTGTGGCTGGGATGCAGAACCAAAGCTCCAGGGGGCTCCAGGGTGGCGGGGGCTGGGGACAGGGTCCCGGGAAGGCGTCTGCTGATGTAATCCTTCTCGGGTCCCAGGTACCGAGGCTGGCACTCTCCTTCCAAATCGTGTAATTCTCGCTGGAGCCTGGGGACCAGGAGGAAAGTCCCGCCTTGGGAGAGCTGGCGTAGGCAGCAGTGTTTGTCCTCAATCCGTTCCATATGCGCCGATCCTTTTGTTTTGTTCTTGGAGGAAGGCTTAAGATTGAATTTCTTAGTGAGTCTAACCCAGACCTTTTTTGCATTTGTGGCTGTGAGAAAAGTGGAGGAGACTGATATTTTTCCAGCACCTCTCGGATTCCTTTTAAAAAAAAAAAAGGTTTTGGCGTTCTTACCTGTCAGTCAGATTCGCCCTTTCCGTTAATCACCACTGCCTCCCACGCCGCTGGAAGCCCTGCACTGCTCCGATTTTAGATGCCAACTCTCAGCTGCTGGACCTCCTGAAGCGCACCTCAGCCATGCGGGCACTCTGCTCCGGCAGACGGCCAAGCTACCCGGACAGGGCATGGCGCCACTTCCTCTCCCCGAGGACAGGTGCAGAGAGGAGCAGACAGGATGCCTGTCAGGCCAGGCCGAGGCTCATCTCGGCCGCCCTAAAACCTTCCAGTGTTCCACCTTGACTTGTGAGCCCTGTTTTTTTTTTTTTTTTTAAAGACATGGCCTTATTCTGGTCTTCTGTATCTTCCCATCGTGTTTTCACATGGAGGACTTGAAAGTACAGAGAAGCCTCTGTCAGCCTATGTACCCATGGCCTCTCCGCCTCCTCTGACCCACGCCTGCTCCTCCACTCCTCCAGGTCCGGCCTCAATGCCCATGACACCGCCCGAGACCTGGGACGCCCTGCTTTCTCCTCTCCTGCTGCCCTGGATGCTGCAGTCTCCTTCATGCTCAGGACATTCTCCTGAAGCTGAGATGCCCTCACCCCTATGGGCACCTACGGGCCTGTCTTCTCTGTCTCCAGCAACGGAAAGGGTTCAGAGGTGGGTTTTGAGAAATTCTGCTCTATTGAGTGCAGCTTCTTGTACATTTCTACATCCATGAGAGTCAAAGCAGGACTAGGAAGAAGTGAAATTTAAATGGGCAAGAAGTTAGTTATCGTCAGACCTTTGGGCAGGATTAGGGCGGGTAGGCAGCTGGTGGAGAGGTCTGGGCCTCGGAGCTCTGAGAGGGTGCTGTGACGTGCTTGCCTTCTTCAGAGAACCCAAGTCACATGGGACCGCACGAGGGGATCTTCAAAGCTTTAGAAGACGGTTATCCCACAAACACCTTGGTTTAGAGTACACTTGGACTTCCCGTATAAACTTGGTTCATAATCATGCTCTGGACAGAAGCCCAACCAGATGAGGGGTGAACTCTGAGTGTGCCTGAGGTCGTCTGGGGGGCTCCCTTCTCCTCCATAGCAGCATTTAAAGAGAACATTACGGCTACAAGTGTGTTTTTTGTGAGTCACAGAAATGAAAAAAGTTCAGTCCCTAAAAAGAGCAATCCTATTTCATAGCACATATCGTCCCAACCACAATTTCCCCTCATAGAAACGCACAACTGGTACCAGGAACGTCAGTGAGAGGCGTGTCTGGGACATGGAGTTGTTAAGGAAGAAATTGTAGGAAGTCAGGCAAGAGGTGAAAAACAGAACAGCAAAAGTCTGACCACCAATCTGGAAGTTTCTGAGCACTTACTTATACTCTAGGGGCGTCCCATCCAGCCACTTCCATTCGTTTTCATGCTCCAAATCCGTGAGGCCGATCCAGTGGCTCTCTCTCCCCACCATCTGCTTTTTTATCCATTGCTGAGCAATAAACCAGAGACGGTGCATTAGTATTCCTTAGAACAGATGTCTGTGGGGTTTCTCCCCCAACATTTAGAAAATGAGAATACTTTAAAAGAGGATGTGTGTCAGCACATTACTCTGCTTTTGCTGTACTCCTTTATATTGTACTTCTGCTTTGCACTGTCTTGGAGGGCTTTATCCTACACTAGAGGCCTGGTGCACAAATTTGTACACAGGTGGGGTCCGGCTGGCCTCCAATCAAGGCTGATCTGGCCAGGCTGGTGGGGGGAGGGGCTGTGGGTGGTTGGCTGGCCGGCCCCACCCCCTGGTTGAACTCCCATTTGAGGGGACTATTTGCATATTAGCCTTTTATTATCCTACTATATATAGTAGGATAATAAAAGGCTAATATGCAAATAGTGCGAACTGCAGAACAACCAAACTGCCACTGTGATGTGCACTGACCACCAGGGGGCATGTGTGGAGCAAGTGAGTGGGGTGGAGTGGGGGGGTGTGCCAGACCAAGGCAGTGCGATGGTCGCTGTCATTGGAATGGTTACTGAAAATTCTTTGCTCCCATGCACTGCACTCCCGCCCAGTGCTCGCACCTGCTGTTGGCTCCAGCCTCGCTTGCACCTGAGGGCTTCTCCACCTCTCCCTGCTCCTGAGGGGTGATTGGGGCAGCAGCCACCGCTCGCACCTGCTGACTGCGCCAGCCCCAATTGCTCCATGCTGTCAGCAGGTGCAAGCGGGTCAGCTGCTGTCAGTGAGTGGGAGCAGTGGTGGCTGGATCAGGGCTGCCAGCAGATTGGGAATGGGGGGGCCAGGCAGGGGCACCAAGAATGTGGCCCCAGCAGGGTCAGGAAGAGCAGGCAAGGCCATAGGGACAGAGCCTATACGAGCTAGTGATGGCGAGCACTCACCCCTGTGCCCACTGCAGCCCACAGTTCTTTTCAAGGTGCACAAATTCATGCACTGGCCCCCTTATCAACTCATAAGTGCTATTTCAGCAATGTTCTTCCTCCTCTAACTCACCTAGACCACTCAGTGAGTTCAGCCAGCTCCATCCCCTTCGATCACCCACCCCTCCTGTGTCTGTCTACAATAGCAACAGCCATGGCATCATGGAGTGCTTTGCTTGGGCAGGGTACTACATCCAGTGTGTCACATGCAGTGCGTCTTTATGCATTACAACAACCCACGTAATAAAGATAAGCAGCTGAGCTGGGATTGGGCCCAGCTCTGTAGAGCCTAAAGCCCAGGCACCTGATTATATGCTCATCCCCAGTCAGTTACTAGGGGAAGCATCTGTTTTCCGGGTTGTGCTTGCTGGAGATACTTAGGGAAAAGGAAGGAGGCCGCTGGAACAGTGTGGCAGCAATGAAAGAGCATCACTTTCAGGCTAGCTCTGCATTTATTTGTCATCCCATGATTACATCATTTAAACCTTATGAGGCCTCAGGAGGGTTGTTGTGAAGTTTAAAGGAGAAAATGGCTTGCACGGTGCCTGGCACACAGTAAGGGCCTGAGTGCTCACCAACCCTAGCACATGTGGGCTCTGTCCCTATGGCCTTGTCTGCTCTTCCTTGCCCTGCTGGGGCCACATGTCTGGTCCCTTACACCTCACTCTACCCCTCTGGTGCTCATGCCTTTGCCCGCCCCCCTCCCCGCCCCTCCCCCCCTTCAGGTGCCCAGTGCCAGCCCCACAGGCTTCTCTTCTGCGTTACTGCTCTTGACAGCCACCAGGAGGAGCCGCACGTCTGCCAGGAAGGACAGCCGTCTTCCAGGTGGAAGCAGGAGGATACAATTCCCATGCCAGAAGTGCTTCTTGTCTCTGGATAAAGCCCAAATCTCCACAACACAGCCTTCTGTTTTCATGCGACCACGAATTCTTGATATCGTTGACTCCCCAGTAAGCATGCAATTTCCAAATGGGAACTATCCCTAAATTATAGTTTTCCCCAACTCTTAAGTATGCCGCAAACATACCTGTTCCTCCCTTGTGTTTATGAAAACGAGATGTGAAGACTTGTCTTCGCAGAAAAGTTTCGCATCCTCAAAAATTTCTTTCTCGACCGAAAAGTAGTAGCATTTGTCTGTGAAGTTCTTCCAGTGAGGCGGGCAGCCTAGGAGTGCAGGGGTTCGCAACACTGATTACAAACAGAGCAGGAAAAGCATCGTGCCTTCCTCCGCTGTGTGCTCACAGGCCACGGCCCCGCTTCCCTCCCGGGCCAGGAGCAGCCCCCGTGTCCGGAGCCCGGACATGCTGGGAGCAAGGACCAGTGCAGGGAGCTGCAGTCACGGTTTAAACTACACAGTCTGGAAGTTATCTGGGCTTTGTTCCTCTGCGTCCACATTAGTCCTTACAATGACGGAAACAGCCGCCACAGGCAGTGCAGGCACAGATGGTCACCGCCAGCCCGGAGTCATATGGAACTGATAGACAACCGCGCGGGAGAACCTGGAACCTAATCGGGCTCACAGAACAGCAAGATGACCCGAGGTGAAGGAAATCAAGTGGAATCGGGTGTGGGTCAAAGGAGAGAAAAATGGGCTTGGTTGCAAACCCAGCATTTTAAGATTTTACCCAAAGGTTTAGTCATGAAAAGGGCTAGAAGTCACCATGATACCTTCTCAGAAGACATGAAACCTGGGCTTCGGTAACAAAGTCCCACCTGCACGTTACGTGAGGGACGTCTGTCCCCAGGGGAGGGGCACAGTGAGGGCAGGCTGGGTCGGGAGTGGCCAGCCTTGGACTTCCATGCAGGAAATGTCTGGGGACCAGGTTGCCCCTGAGGCCGACTCTGTTAAATAAACAAGGGCTAGGGGGCCTGTCATGTTTGCACGCGCCCGTGAGCAGCGGAGCCCCTCGCCTCCCCCGTGGGGGGGTGTGGGGGGCACGCGGGCCAGCCCTGTCCCCCGGGGCCAGGGAGGGCTCAGACTCACCGTTGGCCTCGGGTGCTGTGGTTGGCTCGTTCTGCAGGGCCTGGGGCACGGCTGCTCCCGACGGGCCTGGAGGGCCAGGGGGACCCTTGGGGCCTGGCATGCCGGGCACCCCAGGCAAGCCGGGCAGCCCCCGCGGTCCGGGCACGCCGGGCTCCCCCACGGTGCCCTGCAGGCCCTGGAAGCCGGGGGGGCCCTGGGGGCCGGGGAGGCCGTCCTTGCCCGGTGGGCCTTGAGGGCCCGGGTCGCCACTGGGTCCCTGAGGGCCGGGCTTCCCCGGGGACCCGCGGGAGCCCTTGGCGCCCTGAGAGCCTTTGGAGCCTTTGCTGCCTCGCTCTCCGGGGGGGCCGACCGGCCCGATGGGGCCCCTCTCCCCGGCGGGACCGGGCGGGCCAGGCTCCCCTTTCTCTCCCTTCTGGCCCTTGTTGCCAGTGGGACCCGGGGGGCCCTGCGCTCCTCTGTCACCTTTCGGACCCCGGGGGCCAGGAGGACCTGAAACATAAACATACAAATGGCACAACATGAAATCCATTGTAAGGGACAGTGAAAATGTCATCCTTTCATAAAACTTCCAATCTGAAAAGATCTAGACATACAAAATATAAACATTAAGGATTGCTTACTGTTTTACCATACTATTGTTTGATAGTATTTTTAAAAATATATTTTTATTGATTTCAGAGAGGAAGGGAGAGGGAGAGAGAAAAACATCAATGATGAGAATCATTGATCGGTTGCCTCCTGCACGCCCCCTACTGGGGATTGAGCCTGCAACTCAGGCATGTGTCCTTAACCAGAATCAAACCCGGGTCCCTTCAGTCCACAGGCAGACGCTCTATCCACTGAGCCAAACCAGCTAGGGCTAGTATTTTTTTTTTTTTTCTTTTTTTAAATAGAAATGTTTCTAAGCTCACCCTCCTGCTCCAAGCATTTAGAGTAGCTCTTAGGCACACCACTTTCTGGTACTCGCTGATACAGGGGAAGGAACAACTTCCATGCAGCAGCATCCACAGGACTCCCACCATCCAGCTGGGCTCTCCTAGTCCACTGGGTCCATGTGTCCCCAGCAAAAACTGGGCAGCTTGGGATCAAGATCCCCTCCCACTTATTTCCTCTTTTTTTTTCACTTACTGGACAAATATTAATGACCTGTTATATGACAAGCACCATATGTTACTGTGGGATACCTAAATAGTTGAACTAGGGGGGAAAATGCTATCCAGTGATGAGGGGTACTGTCCTGATGACCACACAGAGAGGCCTTCCTCTGTTACATCCGCCCGGCGCTCCTGCCCTCTTCCCCGGTGCTGCAGGCACACTGCTGTCCTGGGGCCCGAGCCTCGCTCTTCGTGGACCAGCCGAGAGAGACAGGAAGTCAGGGTGGGAAAGTGCTCTCCCAGCCAGGCCTAGGGAGGGTCAGTTTCACTTTTCCCAGTTTGTTAGTCTGATAATGCAAATAGGGAAAGTGGGCTAGAAGGGGAAACTAGGTGGACCGCTGAATTGGCAGGGAAGAGAAGAAGAAGAAAAAAAAAAAGGAAACAGCAATTCTCCCTGAAAAAGGCAGGGGGCAGGGTGGGAGGCAAATACCTGCTCACCTCATACGGCAGCTCACGTGACATGGGCCTGTCTTACGTTGTCAGGGTTGACAGGGAACTTCAAACACACCAGCATTCTGTACAGTGAATGACAGTTTTCGGGGCACTTGCACATCTGTTATGCCACCTGACCTTCATGACATATAATTCCCACAGCACATCTGAGGACACTCGGGGCTCGAGGCGCCAAGCTCTTTGTTCAAATCAAGGTTAGAATAAAAACCGATTTTTCCATTTGAGGCACTATATCCATCACAAATAGGTTATCTAAGATAAGGGTTAATATTTATGGCTGTGGATAAAATCCTAGCATGCACACAGTCACCAATGCCTCCACCCACAGCTGCTCAGCCTCAGGAAACCCATCACAGAGCTGCAGCAGGAAGCTGGCTCTGCCTTCAGAGGGTACTGTAGGTGTCCCATACGTTAAGGGGATCGATCATTCATATACTTTGCCCATTAAGATAGTACTTGGCTCGTTAAAACTTAAAAAAAACTTGCTATTTCCTTTAAAGAAATGACTGAGAAAAAGAGCCAAGCCCATGTTAAAAGTCAGTGCTGGGTCGTTTAAAGAAGATTAGTATTAATGCCAGGGACATATCTTCCTCCAGGACCTGGGATGCTAGTCTTGTTTTATTAGCATCTGGATGATCCCAGGTTTTTAGGTTTCACTTGAAACTTTTATTGGGTGGTGGTTGAAGTGAAAATAAAATGAAATAAAATGTAAGCTACCTTTAGTGCTTTAAGACCGAAAACCCTGGGATAAATGATGTGGGAGTATTTATGAACTTGTGCAGTAATAACATGAGTTCTACACGGGGAGGCACCTGTCATGTCCCACACAAGAGCAATGCTGAGATTGGCTTTCAAGGCCAAGTGGGTGGCTCCCTGGCTCAGGATCTGAAATGCCAGGATACCCATGCTGCTGGTAAAGCCATCTCAAGCTCCCGGAATGCCCGAGTGTGAACCCTGAGCAGCCCCTGTTTGCAAAGCCTCCTCGTGTTCCCCAGACTCCAGCTGGAACACCCGAATCCTGGAACCAAGCAGTTCAGTGAGGACAGACTTTCAATCGCTGCGCTGTTTCTACTTTGCAGCCAAACTATAGGTCTGCCCCGGAGACAACGTTCCAATTGGTTTTCCAGCATGACTGCTGGTGCTTAACAGAAGACAGAGAAACCACTTCAGTTCTTAGTGCTAGCGAAAACCTTGGAGACTCAGTTTTAGAATGATGAGTGGTAAGGTTGGAAGAACAGAGGAAAACAGTAATGTAATCTGACATATCTATCTTCTCACTTAAAAATCTATTTTGACTGCAATTAATCAAATACTTATTAAACACCTACAACTTGATAAAAATCATTCCTGCCTCACTGAGGTGAAATGGAATGTACAAGTTAAAAGGAAATTGGCCCTAGCTGATTTGTCTCAGTGGATAGAGCATTGGCCTCAGGACTGAAGGGTTCAGGTTTGATGCTAGTCAAGGGCACATGCCCCGGTTGTGGGCTCAATCCCCAGTGTGTGTATGGGCAGGAGGCAGCCAATCAATGATTCTTTTTCATCACTGATGTTTCTATCTCACCCTCACTTCCCCTTTGAAATCAATAAAAATATATATTAAAAAATAAAAGGAAATTTAATAGGTATCATTTGGCAATTATTCTGAAGAAAAATTTGCTTCTCAATCTCATGTTTAAGACAGGCTTCTGGAGAGTCATGGAAGCTCCCTGTCTATAGAGGAGGGACATTTGAACTGTTTCTTGCCAATTGGCCAGTTTGCTCCTATGCCTTCGAATGCCTGTTCTCCAGGATCCCAGACAAGCAGTCTTCTGAGGAAGTATATCAAGAAGTGGTGGGGTTGACCTCCTGCCTGGTCCACTTTACTTTGCCTCCTACCCTGCAGCCTCCCAAGGTCCAGCTCAAATGCCATTCCCTTACTGAGGCCTTAATCAGTTGCTCTCCTGAAAAGAAACTCTTGCATCTCAACCTCCCTGAATAGGTCATCTGTTCTAAGTCATCACGGGGCAGCAGGGTGTCACTGGAGGCAAGGGCCTAGGAGCTAGACGGACCTGAGGTTAGCACAGTCTGCCATTTACTAGCTCCTTGACCTTAGGTAAGTTGTTCAGGCTCTCTGGGCCTCTGTTCCCTCCCCTGCAGTGGCTGTGCTGATCATTCTTAGCTTAAAGAGATGTAACAATGAAAGCAGACAATTTATCCAACTGCTCAGCAGCATGACTGGCATATCACAGACACTCAATAAACATGGATTTTAAAATGAGTGAAAGCTAGCTGTTGGTGTCCCCTGAGACTGATTCCAGGGCTGGGCACCAGAGAGCCAGCAGTAATTGGACCCAGCTCAATGTTAACCCTGTCTGTACAATTTCATTCTTTGTGCACATAAAACTACTGTTCTCTACTGTGATAGGCTGGCTAGTGCTACAGTAGAAGGGAATCTTGGATAGGAACTGAACTTGGATATGAATATTAGCTAACCCTCTGCTAGTGCTTTATTGACATTGCATTAAGTCCTCATGAGCTAAAAGGTAGACACAGGTGGAAATAGAGGCAAAGAGAGGATGAGGAACTTGGTACTTGTACCCAGGTCTATCCCATTCCAGAGCTCCTCACCCACTAACTCTCAGGCCTCCCTGAGAAGAGCAGATGTACTAGGTCAGTGGTTAGCAAACTCATTAGTCAACAGAGCCAAATATCAACAGTATAACGATTGAAATTTCTTTTGAGAGCCAAAGTTTTTAAACTTATTCTTCTAATGCCACTTCTTCAAAATAGACTTGCCCAGGTTGTGGTATTTTGGGACCAAAGAGCTGCATGTGGCTCTCAAGCTGCAATTTGCCGACCATGGTACTAGGAGGATGCAACTTACACAGTTCCACAGCTTGCAGAGGAATAGCTCAGGGTAAAAGGTGAGCTTCCCACCTGATTGTGCATTGTGAGGGATGATTTTTTACAAAGCACTCAGTACATTCACACTCAACATTAGCTGATAAAAATAATCAAAATAACAGAAACACTATCTAATTTAAAGGTGTGGTCTGACTATTTAACTATGAGCTCCTTAGCTGAAAAATCATGCTATTAAATATGACAGAAGTTTCCTTGTAGAAGAAGAGCTAACAAATGAATGGAATAATAAAACTATGAAATTTATAAGTAGAAAAATAAATATCCAGATACCGTGACAGAATTGTCTAAAGGTATTACAATTCTAAGAGATATTTAGAAAATTCATGTTTTATGAGCTTGCACATATGCTGAGATGAACTATAATTCTGAATTTAGGTTGAGAAAGAATAGAAAGACAAATAGATCAAACACTGAAGAACTTCCCTATCGTTTGAAAGCCCACTCCTTATTCAGGAGGACTCCCACCTGCAATATTCCTGACTTGCAATCATCCAGCCCCTCCAGAGTTCAGGCACCTCTGTTGCTCAGAGAAACCATTACATTTTCAGGCATCACCAATTTTTATAAGGAACATCAAATAAAAACCAACATTTATCTTCCTTTAGTGAACACCCACTAGTTTTGGTTTCGTCCTCTGGAGCTCCTTAGAAGTCATTTAAAACCCCTTTCACATGCCCAGCCTGTGTTGCTGAGTGGTTGAACATCAACCCATAGCACCAGGAGGTCAGCAGTTGAGTCCTGGCCAGGGCGCATGCCCAGGTTACAGGCTCCATCCCCAGTGGGGGCATGCAGAAGACAGCCAATTGATGTTTTCTTTTTCTCTACTTCCTCTCTCAGAAATCAATTAAAACCTTTTTTTAAAAAAGGAAAAAAGTCCCTTTCACATGATAGCCTTTTAAAAAAATATATATTTTATTGATTTTCCACAGAGAGGAAGGGAGAGGGATAGAAAGTTAGAAACATCGATGAGAGAGAGAAACATTGACCAGCTGCCACTGGGGATATGCCTGCAACCAAGGTACATGCCCTTGACCGGAATTGAACCCGGGACCCTTTAGTCCAAAGGCTGATGCTCTATCCACTGAGCCAAACCGGTTTTGGCCACATGATAGCCTTTTAAATCATGCAGACAACTGCCTTGTTGCCCATTAAGCAGCCTCTCTTATAGATTAAAATTCCTCGGTCCCTCAATCCTTCCTTATAGCTCACGGTGCCTTTTCTAAGTGTGCTGGTCAACGAACATCCCTCTTGAAAGGGGCTCTCCAAAGTATACCGTATCTCCCAGCGGTGGTCTTGCCATACTGAATGGAGTTTCATCTCCCTCGTTCTGGATATCACATTTTCGTTAATATAGGCAAAGATCACATTAGCTTCCCCCGGTAGGCACATTAGCTGCTTACTGTCAACGAAAGCCTCTTGCTTTCCATGCATACTTCCTCTGAGCCATGCTACCCATTAACATTTGTGTTTGGTTCCATCTACAAGCAGAACTTTACACATGTTCCCTATTTCATTTTGCTGGCACTGTTTTACAGTTCCCTACTCTCCAGATCATGTTGAATTATAATTCTATCATCCATTAGTTAGTATATACAGTTTCACGTCAACAAGCATTGGATTACCAGGTCATCCATATCCTCACACTAGTCACTGACAAAGCTGTTGAGCAGGACCCTGCCATCTGCCATCCAGACCTGCCTCCAGGCGCACAGGGGCCCATTGACTATCACTCTTTATATTCATTCAGCCAGCGTGGCAGACACACCCTGGGGTGACCCCCAATGACTCATGCTCTTAGGTAATCCCTCCCCCTTGATCAACGGCATATGGCAAAAGTGATGGGATGTCACTCCCCAACTAAATGACATAGTTTAAGACTCCATCTGAGCAGACTGGAGGGGCAAAGACACTGTTTCTGGCTTTGAAGAAACTGCACTGTTTTCAGGGAGTCACTTGGAATGTGGTGGCCTCTAGGCGCCCAGAGTGGTCTCTGGCTGACGGCCCACCTCCCGCCCCCTCCCAAAACCCAGGAACCTCAATCTTACAGTTTCTGACTTGGAGATAAATCTGCCAAGAACCTGAGGGAGTGTGGAAATGGATCTTTCCCCAGTTAAGCCTTGGATGAAACTGTAGCTCCTCCATGAGACGGCAGCCTGGTCAGACCCTAAGCAAAGGACCCACGTAACCAGACACCAAACCCACGGAGACTGAGATAAGAAATGGGTGTGATAGTGAGCTTCTGAGTTTGTAATGTGTAGCACAGAACATACAACTAATAAATCCGCCTAACGGCGCTATAATCCAGCACCTATTTCTCCATCTTGTTACTTGTTTTTGTAAGAGGTAGAGGAGAGCGGTAGAAGAAATGGGCTCAGGAATCAGGTTACAGAGGCAATCGAAGGGCCCTTGAAGCCTAGAAGAGAGAGAAGCCAGGAGAATGCTCCTGAAGGAAGGGTGTGGGGAAAGGCGCTGGGTGCTCCCTAGAGAGGGTAGAACCTCTATCTTGTTCCTGGTGAGATCTAGCATGCTATTTTCATTGCATTACTTTAATCAAGCTAATAGGCCTGTTCATGGGAAGAAATGTTAGGTCCACCTGCCTTCTTAGTGATTGCATTCTAATGATTGCTGCTTCCCCGAAAGCTCACAAATTATCCTCTTAATAATCTCTTCTCTAATCTTTGTTGGGATGGTCATCCTTACATGTCTCTGACACTGGATATAGGAGTCTCTTAATGATAACGGTGTGACCTAAAAGAATTAATCTTGCTTCCAAAAAAATCCAGTTTATAATAGCATTGAAATAGCTAGTCACTAATGAAATCCAAATTAACCAGTCTTCTATTCAAGAAATATTTGATGGAGCACCTTTGAGCATTGTCCACAAGTTCTTAGTTAAAACCTCTTCTAAAGACATGGAATTCAATTTGCCACCCCACCCCCTTGAGTGACGGTTGGGCTGAGTCACTCATTTTTAAAGAATAGATTATGGGAGAAGTGATGGTAAGTGACTTCTGAGGCTAGATCATAAAAAGCATTGTGGCTTTTTTCTTTCTTTCTCTTTCTCTTGGATCACTTGCTCTGGAGGCAACCAGCTACCATGTGGGGACACGCAAGCAGGTTCCATAGTGAGGAGCGAAGGCCTCCTACCGAGTCATGTGAGCCATCTTGGAAGCAGGTTCTCCAGGCCCAATTATAGCTTCAGACAACTGCAGCCCTGGCCAATACCTTGACTACAACCTCATGACAGATACTGAGCCAGAACCACTCAGTCAAGCTGCTCCTGAATTCCTGATCCTCAGAAACTATGAGAAAATAAATGTTCCTTGTTTTAAATTGCCAAGTTTTCGAGTAATTTGTTACACAGCAATAGATAACGGGTACAAAAAATAAATTCAGAATTTTCACTCACCTTGCAGTATTGTAAAATTCTTGATGAGCTGACCGTGTTTGGAGTCCACAAGCTTCATTTCTTCCATAATCACTGATAAGTTCGCTACTTCCGTGTCTAATCTCGATCTCATCGTATCTTGCTGCATCCTGAGAGAAACAGAATCCAAGCGGATATTGGCCAGTGTGTTATTCAAGGAGGTCAGGTCGTCCGTGTGTTTGGTCAGGGTATCTGTGCAAGTGGTCCTGACTTCATTGAGATTGCTGGTCAGCGTCCGCAGGTGGTGGGCCGTGTAACTGATGTTGCTAATGATGTTTACGATATCCGTTTCAAAGAGCTGAAAGCGTTCCTCCAGCTGGCTGAACTTGACGGCTGTTCTGTTCTCCGAGTCCTTGTGTATGTCCTGCAGGTCTTTCAGGTTCTGCTCGTTGGCTTGTGAGGCCGTGGTGATGTTGTCCATCTGACCTGTGAAGGAGTTGAGCTGGCTGTTCATATCCTCCAGGGTGTCATTGTTGGCTTTGGCCAAGGCAGAGTTATTGGCAGCCAGCATCTGCAGGCTCTGGACTTTCTCCTTCAACCAATCGGTGTCCTTCTTGGCTTGGAGAAAAACCTGCTGCAGGTTTTGGAAGTCGTTCTTGATTCGTTGGATGGCCTGGCTCGTGTCATCCACAGACTGCTGCAGGTTAGTGATGAGGTTCCTCTGCTGCACCTGGGTTAAGTTTAGGTTGTTGAGGTTCATGATGACCACGTTATGAGAGTACATTTGACTCTGCAGGTTGCCCTGCAGCACGCTGGTATCTTGTTGCAGATTCGTTACATAGCCATTGTACGCCTGCAGGGTTTTGTTTACAGTGGTGATGAAGAAAGAGTTATTCTCCAAAGTTTCTTTCAGTTGACTCTGCCTGTCCACCAGTGCGTCCCCACTTGCCTGTAACTTCTCCAGCCTATCTTTGTTCTTGCTGGTCTTTTCTGAGATATCGCGAAGCTGTTGTTGAAGATCCAGAATGTCTGATCTGAAGGTGGAGAGTTCTGAATTGGTGCTTATAGCTTTTTCCCCAGTTTGGTCCCCTGAAATGAGATATGTTTGTTACTTAAGATCGGTAATTCTGAGAAGTGTTCAGGTAAGGTCAAAGATTCTAAAAAGACTTAACTAGTCTTACTTAATTAGTATGCTTGGTGCTTTAGGTATGAAAACTGTGGTAAACACAGACTGTTCTGCATTAGTAAAATCCACATATCTATTTTAAAGTTAAATGTATTGGGGTGACATTGGTAAATAAAAGTATATGGGTTTCAAGTGTAGCCACAAATATGTTAAAACTAGAGGCCTGGTGCATGAACTCATGCACCAGTGGGGTCCCTCAACCTGGCCTGAGGGATTGGGCTGAAACCAGCTCTTCAACATCCCCCAAGGGGTCCAGGATTGTGAGAGGGTGCAGGCCAGGCCAAGGGAACCTATCAGAGCCAGGGAGGGACTGTTGGATAGCTCCAGGGCATGTCCAGCCCGTCTCATTCAGTCCTGATGGTCTGTACCCCAGCAGCAAGCTCACCTACTGTTCAGAGCATCTGGCCCCTGGTAGTAAGTGCACATCACAACCAGTTGACTATCTGCCCCCTGGTGATCAGTGCACATCAGCAAGTGGTTGAGCAGCCTTAGCATATCATTAGCATATTACGCTTTGATTGGTTGAATGGTCGACAGACACTTAGCATATTAGGCTTTTATTATATAGGATTCGTTCCTGGGACCTGGAAAAGATGCTAAGACCAAGACATTTTTTTTTTTTTCCCAAAAAAGGAATGAGTATTTATCTGACTCTAGAACAGTGATTGGCAAACTCATTAGTCAACAGAGCCAAATATCAACAGTATAATGATTGAAATTTCTTTTGAGAGCCGAAAACCGACTTCTGCGCATGGGCCACGAAGTTTCAATCACATTGTACGTGCGCGCCCAAACGTGGTATTTTGTGGAAGAGCCACACTCAAGGGGCCAAAGAGCCGCATGTGGCTTGTGAGCTGCGGTTTGCTGACCACTGGTCTAGACTATAGGCAGTGTGTGAGAAGGGAATATCCTATTGTTTGTTAAAGTCACCAAAATTCCTTTTAAAAAAATGAAAACAAAAATCAAATGATAGACTAGAATCATTTATTTTTAAAATTAATCTCTGTAAGTCTTCAATACAGAGATTCTTCTATAGTTCAAATAGGAGTTTACTGAGCATTTTATAAATGAGCTTTGTATTTGTGGTTCTTTCTGATCAGGATTGGCCTTCAGATATTTTGGGCACATAATAATGATCTTTGGGGGATTCAACTCCAAAATTGGCTCTTATTTTTAAAATTAAAAGTCTGAATTAAATCATGAGGAAAGATTCAACACACAATACAAAAACTTCATGTCCTTTCGGGTGAATGTGAGTTTATAGTAGCATCATTCTAAAAAGCTGTGGTCATTTATAAAAGTGGAGTCAGGGGATTTGACCTTATGGTTCACTCTCAAACAGATTACCTAATTTTTTCAGGTTGCTTTCCACTGCTGTGAGCTTGTCATCATAGGTTTGGCGAGATGTCTCCATGCCCCCTGTCACATTGTCCATTTTCTCTACAACTAAGATTTGGAAATCAATTCATTAGTACACATATCTGCTTAAATATTATTTTTTCAGTTTCAACAAGAGAGCATTTCATTACAGAATAAAGAAAACAGACTGAGACAAAGAGTATAAGTGAAATCAAACACTGTATGAGGAAAAAGTCATTCTTTTAGAAAAGTGAGTTACTTATCTTAAAACCCAGTGGCAATTTACTTGCCAGCCTGAGAATTGTATGCTTTTAAGTCTTCTCATGATTCGGTATTGCTGTAGTAGTTTTAGAAACTGTTTGAAACTGACTTGTAAATTTTTACTTATTATACAAGTCCTCTACCTGGATTGTTTCCTACATAGATGGTCTTTGACTCTATGATGGTGCGAAAGTGATACGCACTCAGTAGAAACTGTATTTAGAATTTTGGCCTTTCCTTGGCCAGCAATATGTGGTAATATATCTCATGATGCTGCTATGGCTCCCAGCCAGCTATGAAATCTCCAGGATAAACAACCAATACTGCACAGTGTACTCGTTGTGTTAGACGATTTTGCCCAAGCGTAAGCTGATGTAAGTGGTGTGAGCAGGTGTTAAGTAGGTAAGACTTACTAAATGCATTTCCAACTTTTGATGGGCTTATCCAGATGTAACTCAATCTCTATAGGTCAAGGAGCACCTTTAATTTCTATAACACTGGGATCATTACTCATCATACTCCCAACCACCTGGCAGGTAGGAATCAAGTAGTGGGAGATTTCATGGCAAAGAACACCTAGCTCATTTATACACAAAGTCTTCATAGAAGAGATGCAAAACCCAGAGTTTTTGCCACCTTCTGTCTTGAGTTCCACCACTGGGAACTGAAAAATCTACTTCCCTTTAGTGACGAGTGCATCTGTACTTTATCAATTCCCACGTAGATGCCCAAATTTGCAAAGAAGAACTTTTAAAAAGCATTCTCTTCATGACACAGGATAGGGAAAGTTAGTGATGCAATGTTAAAAAAAAAAAAAAAAAGCTTCTGTTATTATTCTTTCTCAGGAGGCAGTAACTCTCTATGGTTATGAATACGAGTTTATCTTTCTATAATGTCTAATAAGAAAGGACTTCTCTGAAAGCAACACCTGTGAGATCCAATGTCTAGCAAATTAGGATGAAGTCTTGCCCTCAACAGCTTTTTAAAATAACAACTTTATTTTTTAAGCATGATTATCCTTTGTATATTAATTGTGAGCCAATGGGTCCAGTTCATTTTTTTCATCAAGTGTTCCACCCACACACGATTGTGTGAGAGGATTCTCCTGGGGTCTACCAGGAAGTAGAAGTACAGTTCTATGTGTCTGAATGACCTAGCGTGAAACGGCTCCCTGGCTCCTGGCGCCTTCCCTGGAGAAGCCTGTTGAGCTGTCCCTTGAGCTTCTACAGTCTGGCCATAATGACATGTGTACACTGCACCACATGCCTTTCCACATGACCTTCTTTCCACCTAGAATGTTCTTCCTTGGCCTCTTCACCAAGCTAAGACCTACTTGCTCTTCAAGACTCAGCTCAATGGCTGTGGGAGAGCTTTGCTGAATTTCCCTTGTTTCTTACAGAACTTACTTGAGCGTGTTGTCCTGGCTTGTTTACTGCAAGAGCCTTGAAGGCAGGAACATTTGTATCCAGTTTTATCTCCAGCTCTTAGCTCAATGTGTGGTACTTATAGGTGTTCAACTCATATTTACTTATGCCGTTTATTTGAATAAATGAGTGTCTGACTGCTGAGGCCTGTGAAAAACTGGCTGAGCTAGAGGTCATGCAAACAAATGTACAAACCACCCAAACCCGGGCAGCACTGGCAAAGAGTATGACATCTAGTTGAATAATTATTGTGTGTGTTTTTTTTTAATGACTATATGGACAGAGAGGGTATAGTTATGATAATCTTCACCTTACGGTTGTCTGATGGGCATCCATACTCCTAAATCCCTGGAAACTCTGAACAACAAAATGTTTCCTCTGCATTTTAGCAAAGCTAAACTATTACAAAATAAGATAGGGAATGTTTATAAGTTTAGGTTCAGTTCTGATCCTCAAATCAAAACACATGCCTCCGTCTGTCCTCAAACCACACACAGGATCTTAAGTCCTGCCTCTTTTTTTTGTTTTGTTTTTGTTTCCTGGAAGCCAAAGAAACCTCTAAAAATGCTGACAGGCAGTCATTTTCTAGCCTTTCCAATTTTTCTTCCATTTTAGTTTTAAAAAACACAGAACTATCACAGATAATGCAGATTCCTGTAGAATAAAAATACATGTTCATTAAAAACAAAATCTGTTAATTTCTCTCTCCGGTGCAGCAAGGAAGTGACTTGTGCTTGCACAAGTGCTAATGAACTGGTTCCATGCACTGGGGCGTGTGTGTGTGTTTAAAAACAGGATCTGGGCATAAAGCTCCTACACACTTTAGAGTTGCAAAGCTGGCAGCTTGCTTCTGCATAAAAATACTATGCTGACGGAGATCCAGAACCAACAGTTGCAGTAACAGCACACAGCATTTTCATTGGTTTTCACTCCCAACTTAGTAACACAAATTCTAAGAATGACAGAGCCATCCTTCCTTACCCTAGGAACTCTGAGTCTATAGCTGAGACCTCAGCTGGTAGACTGTTCTCATATGAGGAAAACAAACATGAAACATAGAAGGGTTACTAGCAGTCTGATTTTTCATAGGCTCCTCTTTCTTGGAGATTGTTTCTTAACAGAGAATTTTTCTTCAGATCATCAGTGCTTTAGCTGTTATAGCTGGAGAGTTGTCCCTCTTCAAGTACCCAAAGCCTAATTCACCAGATAATCTGACAATACCTTTTCTACAAAAGGATTATGGTATCATCCTTTGGCCTGGGTCACCAACCTCCTTTACTCTTGTCTTGATTTCACCCATCTTTTAAGGTCCACTCCAAGTCTTGTCACACCATTGTGCTAAGCCTTATCTAATTATTTGATTCCATACCATACCAACTGAATTTTTTTTAATCTGAATGGCAATAATAACAGCCTCTATTTATTGAGTGCCTGTTCTTTGCATCAATGCAATTAATCCTCACAACTTCTGTTTTACAGATGAAGAAGTTGAGGCTCAGATATATTCAGTGACTGGGCCAGAGTTACACAGCTTGTAAGTGACTAAGTGACTAGGAGATCTAACTTCACAATCCCTGCTTTCTCTGTAAGTCCACGCTGCCTCTGATTTAGTATTCTTTTTTCTTTTTTTCTTTTTCTTTTTTTTTTTTTCTTTTTTTTTAATATTTCTTGATTTTTTAGAGAGGAAGAGAAAGGGATAGAGAGTTAGAAACATTGATCAGCTACTTCCTTCATACCTCCTACTGGGGATGTGCTTGCAATCAAAGTATACGCCCTTGACCAAAATTGAACCTGGGTCCTTTTAGCCCACAGACAGACACTCTATCCACTGAGCCAAACCGGTTAGGACTAGTATTCCTTTTTTAAGAAAAATCCCTGGAGGGGAAAGATTATGTTTTGTTTGTCTTCTCTTTATAGTCATCATCTTCAGATGTATACTAAGCATCGCTCTGTATGTGACATAGTGTACACAGTGAGAATACAAGCTCCTGGCCCAGTCTGAGAACAGGGAACAGAAGCAGAGCACAGCTCCTGCCTGGTGCTCACAAGAGTCTACACCAGCTGGCTGTGGTACTGAGGGGAAACCCCGCCCCTCATTGGTACCTGCGACTTCCCAGTAATACCAACCACACTTCCTGGAATTCAATTGAGACATTTCTATTTTGAACACTATTTCAGATTTCATTACAAAAATACAGACAATCTGGTTGTAGGGTACTATCCTAGACTCTAGCAACAGCTACGTGTGTACATTTGTGCACATTTAATGCACATTTTGAAAGTTTGCTTTGTCACTGCTACTTGGGCAGCGCTTAGCAGCAAGGTAGACATTATACCACTAGGAATGTTGAGTCAAAGGAGAGCCTTACTGAGAGACTCAGATTTCTGTCCTTTTTTACCTTCCAGATGAATGCCTTCAAGGCAGGACAAATGAATAGGATTCAGGGAATGTTCTGGAAGAAACATGACCTGTGAACTTCAGAGCTGGCTTCCGCCACAGAAGCTCCATTGACGGGTGATAGAAAGCCCAGGGCAGAGGACTATGCTGTAACTATCCAAGAACTTGCTTTCTGGAAAGCAGCTGATGAGCCTCATGGTCACAGCCCCTGGGTGACTCAGCAGTCCTCTGACTGACTCAGCAGATTCTCTAGAAGGAACTTAAGTGACATCCTAACTGGCAGCTGTGTAAGTGACAAAAAGAAGTAAAGAACATTTTGAGGAAACCATGGATTGCCTTTGCTAATGCTGCCAAATAAGGGGTTTCTATTTTCCTTCTTTTCAAATCCTCCTTCAGAGAAATATTGTCTTTCATGGAATATTTTTCTTTCTTTCTCTCTTTTTTAAAAATAGAGTTTCTCTAGACTTCAAAGGGAGATGTGTGAAAGGAAAACCGAGTCTTATCTTTATGCCTCTTACAATGTGGAGTCACCAGCATCTTATCAGCAAGAAAGAGGATTCACTGTACAAGAGAAAACACATCTGGAAAATATCAACATTCTCGTTCATTACGGCTGTGCTTGGAAACCAAAATGGCATGTTGTTTTATCTTATTTTTGTCAGTAGAGGCCTGAGGGATAAGGGCCTTGAAGGAGGTGAAAGACCAGTCAGACGGTCATTACTTTGCCTCCTCTTCTCTTGCTCCCTCAGTCTCTTCCCCCTTCATGCCGGTCAGCCTCCAGGGGCAGGCCAAGCCAATCTCCAGTGTTCAGGCTTCTAGGTAGGCCTTCAAATTACCGCAATTCCCTCAGAGCAGACTGGCTTAGAGGTCCTTGGGCATTGACTGATTACCTTAACAGAAGTCAGCTCTAGTCCACAACCGTCCATCCTGTCACTAATTCATCCAGTAAAATGTATTGGGTTCCTATTAAGTACCATGAGGCTAGGGAGATACACTAACTAAAAGGTAGCTTCTCTTCTTCACGGAGCTTACAGTTTGGGAGGCCAGACAAGCCCACTGGCCATGATGACACAGTGTGGCAGGGGCTAAAGTAAATAAAAGGTACCATAGGAAGACACAGGGGACCTAACACAGCCCTCAGGGGCTCCTCGCAGGATGTGTGAGACTCGAAGGGAAAGGAGGAGACATTTAGGTGGAGAGCAGAGAAAAGGTTTTCCAGGCAAATGGATCAATACACAAAGCAAACCAGAGCTGACAAGGGCTTTCCAATGTTATCATGCAGAAAATATTTGTGCTTTAAAAAGGAAAGAAAAGGCTGGGGCCGGTTTGGCTCAGTGGATGGAGCGTTGGCCTGGGGACTGAAGGGTCCCAGGTTCGATTCCGGTCGGGGGCATGTGCCTGGGTTGCGGGCGCATCCCTGGTGAGGGGTATGCAGGAGGCAGCTGATCGATGATTCTCTCTCTCATCGATGTTTCTAGCTCTCTATCCCTCTCTCTTCCTCTCTGTGGAAAGTCGATAAAAAATATTTTAAAAAGTAAAAAGGAAAGAAAAGGGTGGGGGGGGGCAATGGGGGAATAAGGACACATATGTAATACCTTAATCAATAAAGAAATTTAAAAGTAAAAGAAAAAAGAAACCCTCTCCTTTGACTCTCCCTGTATAATTCTGAAGGTATAAAGATCCTAGACTGTATTTCCTTGCAGAAGTAAAAATTATAAAATATCATATGATGATAAGCTCTTTAAACCTTTCTCATCTCCCTTTCAAGTAGAAAATGTTTACTTTCATATCACACAGTACTGAGCCCTCAAGATATTCATTAAATGGTTGTTTGATTCCAAGTTCTTCCTTTATCTGGGTTTGCTGGCAAAAGCCATGGAGAAGTGAGTAATGAGCGAAATAACCTAGGAAGGAGGACAGTCTGGATTACTTAGGGCATAAAAGCCCTCCTGTCCCCCCACTCGGTTCCCTCTTATCCGGCCCTTGCACTTAATCACTCTGATAATCCCAGGGTAGAGTAACTCCTCACAAATGGATACAGTGACCTGGTGATTTTCCAAATTGCCATTGCTCAAATTCATCAGTCAACATACTACAGGAAGCACCTACCTTTTCCATGAATATTTCCCGGGGGGGGGGGGGGGCGCACACGGACGACTTTTGACTACACTAGTATTTTTTTAACATATTGTATAAAAGCAGTTATAAAGAAAGAAGGAATACGGAAATACAGCCCCTTATCTACTGGGACTGACTATAGGACAGGTGGTTTAATTATATCACCTTTGCTCATCCCAGTCATCTTAAAAGGTGGCATTATAATTGCTGGCTTACATGTAGGAAATCGGAAACTCTAAGAGGTTATGATGCATACCCAGGTTACACAGCCATGCAGAGGACTTAGCATGATGCTTGGCACGGCAGTCAGCACTTCATACACACTCACAATTGTATTACGAATGGAAAAAAAAAAAATAACCGATCTAGGACCAAAACCCATTCTCATTCCAATACACTGTTTTCTCAGGAAACCACTAACCACTGGGAGAGAGGTGGGAAGAGTACAAACTGGGGGGAATTTACGTTTACTCATTCTCTTCCTAGGCCAAGTCTACAGGCCAAGGAAATGAGAGGGAATGTGTGGGATTCTCCACTGCTAACCTGTCACTCCTGAGGGAAGGCTGAGATGGTAGCTGAGTGAAGGTTCTGAAGATCAACAGACCCCATCTCTGTCTCACGTGTCTTTGTAGGGAAGGCTTCCCTGGCTGTTTTCTATAAAAGTATTGATGCACGCCGTGGTTTTGTATCATGACACCTTCTACCTGTGATGTCTGGACTGGGTATGGGGTTTGGGAAGGGGAAACTCACTTTGTCTGAGAGTATGGAGGATCCAGGCAAAAAACCTCCAGTGACCTGAAATCGGGCACATTGACAGACTGCCTAATTTATACCGTACAGTATAATTGAGGGGTGGTGCTGTCTCAGTGTTTGATTTCTACAGGGCAATATTTTTATGGTGCTATCTAAACAACAGTGACCACAGTAAATGTGCTGAGGAGAGAAAAGGGGAATTAGTTGGCCAGTCCCTGGGTGAAATAAGTCATATCTCTGGAGATCTGAGTGTTTGGATTCTCCTCTTCAATATAGTTTTCCTGTGTGCTGACTCTGGAGTTTCCACAGGATTCAGAGATAAGATGAAGCTGATAGAGGAAGAGGGAGTAGCTGGAAATAGGTAGGAAAAAACAACAGGGAGGAAAAATCTTTATGATTCAGAGAGGCACACCATTATTATTGCTAAAATGATTAAAAAGGAATTATTACTCTCTCTTTCCAGATCTCACAGCTACAAGAAGCTGAAGACACAAAGGCGGAACTTAGGGTGTTGCTTAGTTTTGCATCTGAGTTGTATTCATGAAACACTTCAAACTGGTACACATGGGTTTTTATCATGTTAACGAAGGAACAGTTACTATCTGGAAGAAAAAGGAAAGATTACTTACCTTTGTATCCCAGAATGGCCACTGTGATTGTTAGCAAGGCACACAAAATGTATAATAATATGATAGAAAACTTCAGTGCCCAGTTGTTTTTACATTTGGTACATTGTGTTCCTTCCTGAATACCTGTAAGAGAAGTCAAATTTTATAATAATGACCAAAAAATTAACTTAGAAAAGTATCTTTTTGCATTCTGGTTTAAATATTATGATTAAAAATAATTTTTATATATGCCTTACTACGGGATGAGTGGTATCTTAAAATGAAACATACCTCTTTAGCACTACAAGCCCTTTAAATATTACCATGCCGTTATAACTATTTATTTTATTTTTAAAATATATTTTATTGATTTTTTTGCAGAGAGGAAGGGAGAGGGAAAGTTAGAAACATCAATGAGAGAGAAACATCGATCAGCTGCCTCCTGCACAACCCCTAATGGGGATGTGCCCGAAACCAAGGTACATGCCCTTGACCAGAATTGAACCTGGGACTCTTCAGTCCACAGGCCGACGCTCTATCCATTAAGCCAAACCAGTTAGGGCATAACTGTATTTAATATGACTTGAAAATAACATAAACTGTGCACCTATGGATGAGGACAGTGGGGGATGGGGAGGGGGCGGAGGGTGGGGTGGGAACCTGGTAGAGGGGGGAAAAAATGAGGAACCTTTGTAATAATATGAACAATAAAGATTGATTTAAAAAAAAAAGAAAAAAGAAAAGAAAATAACACATAACTTTGTCTCATAGAATAGTTTTGAACCAAATTCCACTGATATTTATAATTTCAATATAAATCTCTACATGACAAAAGATTTAAAATACCCAATACCTATAGCAATTCAAACACGACCAACCCCCCCCCCCCCAAAAAAAAAAAAAAGTGACTTGTCTTTTGAAGATGTTTGTTTCAGTGGTATGTTACAACTAGTTGCTACTGGTTTGCTCTTGCTAAATTTTTAGGAATCTGGGGAGCTGATTGTTAAACTCTTGATAGCTTGAAATCAGTTTTGGAGGTAGTATTTACACGATGGAAATTGGTAAGACTACAAATTATGATCCCACCCCTGCTCTTGAACTGGTGTACTATCAAGCCACTAGCTCTAAGGGTACTATAGCCTATAGCAGTTACATAGGTAACTTTAAGATTAAAATGCTCAATATATAACCATTTTTATGTATTACACTTATACAGTAAACAGACCCTTATGTAAATTATCACAGCTATTTAAATACGAATTATGAAATAACTAGAAACAGATCTTTTTGGTGAGAAGAGGTAAATTTTGACTGCTCACGGTTCAACTTTTTGAAAAATAGTCTAATCTAAATGAGAAACCACCATCACTTCTGCAAGTGACTCCAGAAACCCAAAGCAGGGACCTTTCCCCTTGGGTTGATGGGAAACACAGAAGACAGAGACTGTGGACATTTTAATGTGAAAATCACATTGTGAGGAGCACTGGCAGATCCCTGCTTTCCCAGGCCTGTTTTCCTGTGCGTCTCCTAACAGCGTCCCCCAGGGGCAGCAGCACGTGAAGGGTTCATCTTCCATAACAGCGCTCAGCAACTTTTGATAGATTGGTCGTGAGGATTAAACTACAGCCGAAGTGTCTCTCCTTGGGTTTATAATTTTACCCACAGTGCCCTGCTTCAGCGAAAAGAGTTCTTCAGCTGTGTTTAATACAAAATGATGAGAGAAGCAGCATAGAGCAATGATTTGAATTTAACTTAGAATTTAACAAGATAGAGCAATGATTCAAATTTAACCAATCCCTATGTTGTTCTGGGCCAGAGACCCAACAGGAGGGGGCTCAGTCTGTCCCCTGACTCAGAGCAGTGACTCTCAAACTCGGGTGCATCAGACTCACGTGAGGAGTTCGCTAAAGCCCAGCATTTCTAATGCAGGAGTCTGAGAAGGCACCCGAGAATCTGGACTTCTAACACGTTCCCAGAGGATGCTGGTCCTTCTGGTCTGAGGACCATACTTTAGAACTGTGCTTTTCTACCGAACCGTAAGGGCTTACAAATCCCATTGTTCCAATGCAGGCCTGACTCAGCAGGTCTGAGATAGGAGGTAAGATTCTACCTAAGATCCAGGTGATGCCTGGTTAGAGGAATACACTTTGAGGAGCAAAGATCTAATTTAGAAGATGACCATGCTGGATCAACCTTTGGTTAGCCAATTCCTTGAAGGTGAAGCTGTAAAATCAGACTCATTGTTCGAGCAAATCTAGAGTAAATCAGCTTCTATGCATCACAGTTTTCCCATTTCTTTGACATCTTTTCCTTTCCATCCTCTTTTAATTGCCACCTGGAGGCCTCAGCACCACCTCTCATGTCCAAAATCAACCTTGGTCCTGGCCCTGCCAAACCATATCGCAAACATTCACCCAACTTTATTTCCATCCAATCTAAAAATGACTACTCTCTTATCCCTCCAGGTGCTTACACTCAAAGACACCCTGAAGTCTTCTCTTTTCCAATTCAGCCAGTCTGCAGGCCCTGCTAATCTTGCTGTGGAATGTTTTTTTTATCATGATCATCTCATCCACAGCTTACTGATGTTCACTCACTGCTTACATTGTACCAGGCACTTGCCACATTGACTTCAATCCACACACTAGTAATAACCCTTCAAGGAGGAAAGGTAGTGAGGGCTGACATGACATCCTATAGACACCACAGCCAGGATTCAAACCTGGGTCTGACTCCAAAAGTCATGACTTCTCCACTACGCTGTGGTGCCTCTCTCTGGTCCATCTTTCCTCTCCGTTTCCCCTGCCACCATCCTAGAGTGAGATTCTTCCATCTCAACACAAGCTTCCCCTTTCACTCCTGCTGGAATCTAGCCTCGCCTGTTCTGAAACCCTGCTCTCCTCATGACAATGCTGAAAAGAAAACAAAAACTTTCCACAGTGTACTCTGCACTAAAGGATGAACACACACACACACACACACACTCATCAGCTTTTGGGCTCTTCATAGCCTGGCAGTTTAAAATGAAATAAAGACTCCTCACCTCCAGTTAGAGTGAATATATTTTTGGAATTGGGAGAGAGAGGTAGACCCATCAACATACCACATTTCATGTTCAGAAACAATGAACTTGCTTTGGTAGCAACTGTAAAACCCAGAAGGATAACAGACATAGAGATGACACAGGAGGGTGAAGGGCTGGGTGTAAATTTATGGTTGACCGGGGTGTTTTATTCCTTTTGGATATCAGGACCATGGTGGGTTCTTTACACCTCTCCGGGGCTATTATGTTCTATTAGGTGAACCTCAGAAGATCTAATCAGAGCAGAGATTATGGTAGAGAATAAGGTCTGGGACTAGAAGGTTGCTTAGAGCAGTGGTCGGCAAGCCGCAGCTCAGGAGCCACATGCAGCTTTTTGGCCCATTGAGATTTTTTATTTTATTTTATTGATTTTTTACAGAGAGGAAAGGAGAGGGATAGAGAGTTAGAAACATCGATGAGAGAGAATCATCAATCAGCTGCCTCCTACACCCCCTTCCCCCCCACTGGGAATGTGCCCGCAACCCAGGTACATGTCCTTGACCGGAATCGAACCCAGGACCTTTCAGTCCACAGGCCGACGCTCTGCCACTGAGCCAAACCGGTTTCGGCAGCCCCTTGAGTTTTTAGCAAAGGCCGGCTTAGGAGTACCCTAATTAAGTTAATAACAATGTTTAAACAATGTTTAAGTTTAAAAAATTTGGCTCTCAAAAGAAATTTCAATTGTTGATAATTTGGCTCTGTTGACCGATGAGTTTGCTGAGGGCATCTGGTTAAGCGACATTGTGTTACGGATGGGGAAAGTGAGGCCGGAGAGGTAAAGCAGAATCAGAAGCTACTCCCAATGCAGGGCTGTCTTCCTCTCTCCTGGCCGTGGGCGCTAACTGTGTGTTTGCCACTGGACATCTTGTGCACGTGGCACTTGTGCACATCCACTCGCAGACTTCTGTCACTGGTTCACATTCTGAAGAACAGTCACTTCCTCACAATGTGCATTGCTCACCGCTGACTGGATCAGCATTTAATCAATATCAGATGGCACCATCTGACCTCCCTTCCCACTTGACACACTTTTTCTGTCTTGTTTTTTTTTTTCTCTCTCCCCTGCCCCCCAGATGTATTCTTAATAAAGAATTCTGTTTTATCTTTCCCTCTCTGCCCTCCGCTGGGAGGACACAGGAATGCCTACTACAAAGAGACCCTGCTGGCTCACGTAGCTGGGGGACTCCTCCTCCTTGAACCTAGATGGTCACAAAAAAAACATTCGAGAGAGATATCCTCCTGTTAGCAGCCTTTGTAGTGTTTGTTTTCTTAGCATTACTTTCCAGAGACTGGGGACTCTGCTGCCATTGGCGGGGGTGGGGTAGGAAGGGGAAGGGAATGGATCTGCAGAGCGCTGCGGATAAGATTCTAGTGCAGGAAGTGAAGCAGATGTTGCCCCTTACCACCAAGAGATCTAGCTTATAAAAACAAACAAACAAACAAACAAAAAACCTGGCCCAAACAGCACATCTGTAATTCAGCAGGCCACAGGCAACGTGTGCCTGAAGGTCCCATGCCTTTCCCCGGTTATCCCTCTTGAACTACCTCCCCTTGAACTTAATTCTTGGCTCACATTCTGAATGTATTTTCCCGTGTCCAAGTCTTTATTATACAAAAAAGAGTCCGGGGCCAAGTGAAGCCAGAATCGCTCCGGTTAACTCCTTGCGTGTTCTACGGAAGTCCAGAGTAGCTGACAATATGGTCCCCAGTGCCCGAGCTCAACATCCCCTGTGTGGCCCCGTTTCCAGCCCAGGGTTAGAGTGAGAAGACTGGGGACGGTTAGATGGCTGGAGGGAATAATTGAAACACTGCAGGAATGACAGTGCAGATGGCCAGAAGAATTCCCCAGCAAGGAGCATTCCTTTCTGCTGTGGTTCTCCAGAAAGAGCCCTCCCAAGTGCTGTGGTCCAGGCTCCAAGCCAGTCTGTTTTTCCAACATTTTAAGAGAACAAAAGAGTTTCCTTCACCGTCGTATTTTCCTGCCATGTACATCAATGAAGGAAGGCTTATCTGTTCAAACAGACACATGCTTGTTACGTGAAGGCTGGCATTGCAGGCAAGT